AGTTTTAGCTTTATTTAACAATAGCAACATTGCTATAGCTGAATAATTTTTAATATTTACTTTTAATTATATAGATAGATAGATAGATAGATAGATAGATAGATTTATTCTTAATAGAAGGCAGAGACTTTAAACTTAATTCAAAGTAAATATTTTCCACATATTTGAATAATTTATTTTGGCTTTAGTGCAATAAATATATAAAAGTCCATTTAATGTTGCAAATATAATTTTCTCTTCATAACACATGTTTCTGTTTTTACAGGAAGGAGTCTCAGAATGAAAAAACACTGGTAATACCATGGTAGTATGCACTGAGAGGCCTGGAACTTTGTGAGGCCTCGGCTTGTGTAAATGTGTGAGTGAATGAGTGAGTAGGTGAGAGACCTGGTATGTTTCCATTGGTTTATTTTCCATGTTGAGGTCCCAGACTTTAACGGTGAGGTAATCTCTAGTGAGCAGGTAGCGGCCGCTATGACTGAACTTCACGTCTGACACTGAGGAAACGATCTCGGAGAAGAACGATCGGCGGGATGGATCCACTGCCTCTTCAAACACTAATAGAGATTGCACATACACACATGGTATTACAATATAAAAACACTTAGTTTAATATAAAGTGTTAGGACATCAATACTACAACAAGTAAACCACCTCACATTAAATACTGACAATGGTAAATTGGGTTCCAAATCTGAAAGTTTTAGTGATTTAAGATACATTTTATTTAACCGAAAAACCCAGACTTTTGAAAAGACTTGTATTGTGGGTGTTTTAGTGGATATGTTCCTGAATCAACATCCTTGTACGACTTGGAACAACACTCTGATTTCAGGGGTAGTTAATGGTTATGGTTGACAGGAATGTTGTTTCAAGACCAACAAAGAATGTTCATCCAGGAAAACGTCCTGCTTGGCGGTATCATCTTGTATTGCATGCGTATGCGTGGCTCACGTTTGGCATGTTGGTCACAGAGTGCGCGAGCTCTCATGTCACAGAGGCGAGTGGTTCCTGTGCTGCTGCTGAAGGCCAGCAGGTGGCAGTGGTGAGGGTGAAACTCGGCCACTGTGATCACCTCACTGAGGTCTTCCATGTTTTCTGGCTTCAAATCCACAATATCTGAGAGAAATTCACTGAGGAAACCTAACACTCTGAG